CCAGCCCATCTGGAGTGGACCTCCAGTCAGCCTGGCTTGGCTCAGGTGCAGCTCAGGCCCCGGGGAAGGAGGGAAGTGGACAATCATCCCCAGGCTGCTCCCCTGAGAGCCAATTTGCATCTTTGAAAGCATTCTGCCACCTGTCTTGTCTGCATGTGCTTCTTAACACTCTGGGGAATAAAAATGGTTTAGAGAAAAGTGCTAGGTGTTTCCTTTTTTCTCCTTCTGAAAGGCCTGAACCCCAGAATCTCCACCTCAGAGTGGGGGCGGCAGGCCTGTGGGTGTGACCGAAAGTGAAGATGCTGCTTTCCCTGTGAGCAGTCTGTTCGGGGAGTGAGTGTGGGGATGAGGAGTGAAGAGATCTTTCCATCACTGCCACCCCCATCTCCTGCCCTTTCGCCTGAAAACTGATAAGAAGGAAATGGAATCACCATAGTGCATGCACTTGGAGTGAAACAGAGGCCCGGCCGGGTGCTGCTGACCAGTGAAGCTGCACGCTGCAGGCGGCTGTGGGATGCAGCTTCTTCCTTCTGGTCGATTCTCCCTATCTGCGTCTCTGTGTCTGCCTGCCTCTCACTTGCTCTACCTGCCCCTCCAGTGTAAAGCATTCTCCACATTTCAGGCTGTGAACTTGCTCTCTAGAGACTTGTGCCCATAAATGCTCCTTCATCCTGACATCTCTGCTCTCAGGAGTAAAACCACTCTACTCTGTTCCCTGCTAGCCTTTATATAATAGAGTGCAATTTTATTTTTATTCTGTGTCCTTCCCACAGAACCTTTCACAGCTGCCTTCTGTGATTCCACGAGGAGCCAGGTGTTGGGCTGAGATGCTGGAGGGAGTGTCAGGTCAGAGCTAGCATATGGCCACCTGGATAAGTCTGAAGACGCCAGTGGCCTGGGCTGAGCCCACATACGAGGGCTGAGAGCAGATGACACTTCTTGGAAGTCCAGGCCTGCCATGACCCTCTGACATGCCATCCCCAGCCTCACAGCCGCCACCCACCCCATACCTGGAGCTGGGTTCTGGGCAAGTGATCACATCACTCTCTTCAGACCCTTGCTTCCCTGATGCCACCCGCCTGCCTGCCACACTCCTCCCTCTCCACGTACTTGCTGGAAGCCCGCTAGTGCCAGGTTTCTATGAAAGCCAGCAGCAGGAGCCTCGGAGAAGGTGCCAGTGCTTGTGGCTGTATGAGGAGGGGCCACATTGTCGGGCCGGGAGGTGGCTGTGCAGGAAGAGGGAGGAATCCAGGGAAGGCCATTTCCCCTGGTCAGCATGGCTGCAGTTCAGGATTCAAAGGGCAGGGAAGGCCAGAGATGGGTCGAGGGTGAGTCTGGGCCAGGGTTTGAAGGTTCTCAGCTCCCTCCTTACAGAGTGTGCACCTGAGTCTAGGGCTGGCCCTGGTGGGTGGCAGGGGAAGGATGGAGAGCCCTTGGCTGGGACACCCCAGAGAACGGGGCTGCCGGTACCCCAGGACCTTTGTCCCAGAGCATCAGTGGCACCACCCGCAACACAGTGGAGTGGCCATGGATATGCACATAGCAGGCGAGGTCTGCTATGGAGTTAGAGGGGGCCCAGGAGCTCTCTGTAGCTTTCAGCAGACCCTGACAAGCAACCTGGGCCACTCTGTTGACTCTGCCCACGTGTTGTCACCAGCAGGTCAGGCCTGAGAATGGCCTAAGGAACACCTTCTCAGTTGCAGAAATGGGGTAGGGTGGGCTGCAGAGCTGGTCACCACAGACCCAAAGTCTGTGGCCTCTTGGCTTCCAGGGCCCCTGAAAGGGGCTTGTCCCAGAGGCCTGCATCCAGGGCCACAGAACCCAGCCCAGCAGAAGCCTCAGCTCCCAGCTCACTTGGGAAAAAGGATACATGAAAGCAACTGGCAAAAAGCAATGGCATTTCTAAGGCAGAAAACCCATCTTTTATTTATTTAATCCAAGCCATTGTGTAAATTGTTCATTCACGTTTGTGTAAGCAATTGAACTACATGAATAATGGGGGAAGTTAAAACATTGTTTCTGTGTGCCCCAAATCAAGTGGTTAGCCACAGGTTTCCTTTCCTGAACTCATTCTGTTAAGCAGGGCTTACCTGAAAGCTGGACCCCCTGCCCTGGACCAGGCAGATTGGGGTAAGGTCCACTCCAAGCCCCCATGTTTTTACCTGTCAAAGGGCGGTAGACCCACCTGGCAGCAGTGGCTTGTGAGTGCCTGGCTAGTGGCAGGTGCCCAGAGTGTGCCCCCAAGAGCAAGGGCAGTGGCACCTACTCCTCCAAGACAATGGCAGGTGGCAGCCTTGCCCCTGAGAGAGGAGGCACCCCTCGTTCACCTTCCTTGCCCTGGGACTCCATACTGGCCCACTGTGCAAACCTGAGCCCTGTCTGCTTCCAGAGGTCTGTGAAGTACACAGAAGGCAGCTTTGATGTCTGTGGGGAAAGGGGGCTATTTCCATCTCCAAGGTCAGGCAGCATTTATTACCAAAATTTAATTTTTCCCATTGGACACCTGAGATATATTAAAGGCAATGTGGTGTCTGATGGGATAAAATATCACCTCTGAAGTGTGGTCAGTGAATTTTTCCTTCTGCTGATGGCTCCATCTTAGGGAGGATTGGTTGAGAGACACTGGGAAGAATATTGAGGTCAGAGCTGCCAATTAACCTTTTGATTCCATAGTCTGATTACTCCATTAATCAAGAGCCTGAGCCTGCGTCCTGATGGAGAGGCTCTCGGCTGTGGAATAACAGTGTCCGCCAGGGTTATCTGCACCTGTGATGAATGGAGGAGCAGGCCAGGCCAGGGCAAGTGGCCAGGCAGGGCAGATGTTGACATCCCACAGGTAGACGGATGTCGCATGTGGCCTTTCTGCTGGATTTTGTATGGGCCTGGCCAGGCCACACGTCCAGAACTCGTAGAGGCAGTAAGGTTGTCAACAGCCCCACTCATGCCCTCCCTTGTGGCTAAGTGGTTGATCTCTTTGAGCCTTGGTTTCCCTGTTTGTGAGATGGGGAACGTGTTCATACCTGCATCACAGTGATATGACGGTGACAGGAGCTTGTGCTGGGACATGGCGTGATGCCCACAGCCTCACGCCGTAAATGGATGGCCGGCCTCCAAGGCATGATCCAGCCTAATCCTTGTGACAGCATCTGAAGGCAGCTACATTCCAGTGTCCCTATTTCAGACAAAGACCCCAGGAGACAGGGTATGGGGCTGGGTTCAGGGCTGTAGGTGGGGAGGTGGCAGAGCCAGGATGGGGGTCTCTATTTTGTTTGCTACTCTCCCAGGCTCTGTTTTCCACTTGGCTCTCTCTTCCCATCCCTGCTCACCTCCTCCAGGAAGCAAGCCTGACTGCTTCAGCCCACCTTAAACTGCCCCGAGTCTCAGAGGGCCGTGGTGCATGAGCTCATTCCACTCTCTCGGCGGTCCCCTCGTCTCTCTGCTTCCGTGAACTAGCCAACAGGTTCTTGGACTGGCACCTTTTCTCTCCCACTTCTCCCGTAGTGGGCTCTGGAGGGACCCCACGCTGGTCCCAGTCTGATGGAACCCCCTAGTCTTCAGGGCCAGCCTTTCCCCTTTCAGGGACTGGATCCTCAGATGAGAATCCTCTGTCCATCCCTGACCACCTGGCCATGGCCGACTGTAACCTGCCCTCTCTCGGCCCAGCCAGGGAGCTGGCTGTCCCTGTGCCTGGATATGGATGCCCACAGTGGCCCTTGGTTCAGCCTGAGGAAAAGGGACTCTTGTCTCTGTTAAAGTGGAAGGAGGCTGGTGGCTGGCCCAGCTCACACAGCTGGCACAGTAGGGCAGGACTCAAACCTGTTCTGACAAACTCCAGGGCCTGGAGTTTTTCCATAGTCCTCTTGGTCAACTGGGCTCCCATCCTCACCTGGGGCAATCCCATCGTCAGCTGCTGACAGGACCACCCACAAGCATCCAGCTTAGCGGAGGGCTACAGGCACACTTAAGTGGAGCCAGTCTCGATAATTAATGGGGGGATAAATCGAGGTTTAATTACTGGAAGGCACCTTGAGTGAAAGATTTATGATAATTGTGTATCCTCCTGATGTCTTTGCGCAGATGGCTTTTCTCCAAGCAGCAGTAACCATGGCATGTGGGAGCGGCTGGGACAGTGGCGGGGGAGTTGCCTCTCATGGTCCACTTAGAGCCCCATGGGGATTGGAGGTAGCCCAGGCAAGCCTGACTTCCTTCTTTCAGCTCAGCCGGGGAACCCACCCAGACACCCCTGCCGAGGGAGCCCTCTTCACCTCTTCACTTCACTTGTAGTGGCCAGCAGGTGGAAATCCCCCCAGGGTAATATGAACCCAAATCTCCAGATGGCTTCCTCCTCACATCCCTGTTTCTTGGTACTTGCCACGTGCCAAGTGCTATGCTGGACTTGTATGGGGCAGGTGTTTGACTCCCAGCAGGGACTCAGGCTGCAGCCTGGGAATTCCCATGCTTCTTCCTCCAGAACATTCTTGCCTGGAATCTGCTGGCGAGTTCAACCCCCAACTCATAACCAACCCCTATCGCTTGCTAACAGTGATTTGAGGTGGTTTTAGATATTGCCCATTTCCATTCTACCAGCCAAGAGCTGGTCCTTTTGAAAGAAACCCACCTAGACATAGAATCTGGAGCTGAGAGCCGGGTAGGTATCTGGTTTCAACATCTGGCTTGCTGAATTACTATTTGCTTTCAGAGTTACAATTTTTAATATAATAATAACTTTATAATTATTACCTCCAGAAGGTCAGACTGTTTATCAGCTTTTCCTTTTCATTCAGATTTCGTTAAGCACACACATCAAGGCTTGCTACTGTGGCACGCTGGCCCTCATCTGTCCCCAGGGCAGTGACAACCAGCAATTGGACTCTGTCTTATTCTTACCACCTGCTGCCTTCTGTGTCCTGCTCCTTCTGTGGTCTTATAGACCTGGAGCTGTCCCTGGGTCTCCAGGCTGGTGGAGAGCTCACCCGTCTCCCTGCTTCCCTCCCTCACAGAGCTGAGGAAGCAGGTGGAAAGTGCTGAGCTGAAGAACCAGAGGCTGAAGGAGGTCTTCCAGACCAAAATCCAGGAGTTCCGCAAAGTGTGCTACACGCTGACAGGCTACCAGATAGACATCACCACGGAGAACCAGTACCGGCTGACCTCCCTGTATGCTGAGCACAAGACCGACTGCCTCATCTTCAAGGTAGGCCTTTGCTGACTTGGCCATGGCCCTGTTCTCCTAATTGGAAGGAAATCAAACAATTAGCCCTCGGTCAATGAACACATTTCGGCTGGAGCAGGCTCATGTCACGAAGGTGTGACAGCCAGGACGGGAGGGAGAAGTGCTGGTCCACAAAGTTTCTTGACCCTGGGCCACCTTCATGTGACTCTTCCGTCCTGGACCTCCTGGGTAAGGAAGGTGCTGGGCTGCTCCCTGCTGACTTCTTTGTTCACATGTGCCCTCTGCACATCACTATGTGGGCTCCATCCCTGTGAGGGCTGAGGGCATCAGTGCATGAGTTAGTTTGTCCACAGTCAGCACCTGTGGAGGGCCAAAGTGATTGTGTGAAAGTCTGTGTGGGGCCAAGGTGGACAGGGCACCCTCCAAGCTGCCAGACTGTGCAGTCATTGTGAAGTGTGGTAGACAGGAGGAAAGGAGAGCAAGCAGTACCTCTGTGCTAGTCAGTGAGCAGACTGAGTGTGCACTTTTAAAAGTTTGCTAGAGAAGCCAGGGCTGGTGTCCACAGGCAGCCGGGGCCTGTGTCTGCAAGCAAAGGGGATTATGCCGAGGTATGAACTGCTTTGCCTGTGTGTGCTCCCTGCACAGTGCTGGCCTGTGATGGGGTAGGGATTGGGGCTCCCCAAGGAGGGGCTCCTGTCGCTGACCCAGGAGCTGCATAACTGGGTGGGACTGTGCATGCGATGTGACCATGGAGGCCTCCAGGTTTCTGGGCAAGGACAGTCATGGGGATGAAGAGTCTTGGGGACGAGTAGGTTCTAGTAGCAGAAGTAGGGGTGTTACCATGTTGACTGTAACAGTAGAGGTGGCCCCACATGGACATCAAGCATGGAAATCTGGGGTGACAAAGGCCCTGGTGATCCAATCTCCTGTTCATGAAGATGGTATCATGGTCCCAGTATGGCACATGGTCCCAGTGTGGTGCCCAGCTGCCTCAGGAGGGTTTGACAGGGCAGTGACTGTGGAAAGTTAGTTCAGGAGAAACTGGCTCCAGTTAGGACAGCCAGGGTGTGGAATGAGCCATCTCACCACGTGCAGCCTGCCTGTCATGGCACATCTTTATAGAAACAAAGAACCAACTTTCATTTGTATAAAAAGCCATACCCAGTGTGGCCTACCCATTTTGAGCAGAATTTAATAGTAAACGAATCATTGCCTCTCTTGTTCAATCTTACTCAGCCTGGCAGCTCACTCTCCACACTTCCCGTGTGTCCCCTCACGCGCGACCTCAGGGGCATCTTGGGCGTGTGCTGTGTCCTCTGCAGCTTCACAGCATCTCTTCTAGACTCTCTCAGGCTTCTCAGATCACGTTCACCCATTTTTACACTTCCTGAAACTCTCAATCCTTTGAATAAGTAAATAAAATATTCAAACTCTCAAAGTCTTTAAATAAATAAGCTATCAGAAATGTACTTCTTCACGTTTGTATAATTCTGTATACTTTTGAATAATTCAGGATCTTTGATAGATGTTTAATTTAATACATTGTAGAAATTCCATGTTTTTTAAAAAAGATTAGGTAAATAAAGGTGTACTTAGGAACAGTCACTATTTAACATCACCTGTCATATCAACATTTATAAATTAAGAGGCATAGTTTTCGCTGGATTCTTGCATATTCTTTAGCTGAAGTGATTGATCTTATGAAAACTACCTCCAGTGAAACCATGAGAAAACATTTCAAAGTATTTTGTATTTATAGATTGTTGAAAATACAGAAAATGCAAAAGAAGAAAACCATTCACTTATAAATCAGGTGTCACCATGGCGAGAGGTGGCTGATGAGGGGCTGTGTCACCCTGATGAGAGGTCACTTGTGAGGTGGCCCCTGATGAGAGAGGCTGTGTCACCATGGTGGGAGGTGACCTGGTGACGGGGCTGTGTCACCCTGATTAGAGGTAGCCAGTGAGGGGCTGTGTGGCCGTGATGGGTAGTGGTCTGGTGAGGGCCACGTGTTGCCCTGACTGGAAATGGCCTGGTGAGGGGCTTGTCACCATGACATGTGGTGGCCTGGTGAGGGGCTGTGTCGACGTGACCTCAGGCAGGAGGCTGGGTTTGGGGACTGGTCTCAGTGGAGCAGGGGCACCAGTAGTCCCGTGTCCCCTCAGCCAGCCCACTGATTTAGAAACTGCTCCTTGTAGATGTTTTGATTCAGGGGCAGCTGTCTCTCTGCAGTGAGGCTGAGGTAGTCTCGAGGGACAGTGGTGGGACCTCCGCCTCACTGCCCTGCAGACAACAGTGAGGTTTATGAACAGCTCAGTGAGGGACCAAGAGGCCACTGCTTCCCCACTGCTCAGCTCCTGGTTCTTGAAATGCTTTTTGCTCCATTTTTCTCCAGAGCTTCCTTTCACGGCCTGCTCATCTGGCCTCAGCCTGCCCCTCTGCCACCTCCTTCTCCTGGTACCTGGGCTCTGTCCTGCCCAACCCACCTCTGTTTAGTGCCCTAGCCGCACGCCGCACCTCCCCGCTTATGCCATTCTTCCTCCCTGGACGGCCCCAAGCCCTCTTCACCTTACTGCATCCTGTGCAATTGACAAGGCTATGTGTATAATCCCACGCTGACTGAAGAGCACTTTAACAAGGGGCTGACGCTGGGCAGCATGTCACCTAACTTCTCTGAGTCTCAGTTTCCTCATCTGTCAAGTGGAAATAATTATAGGCTCCTCCTCACAGGGTAGTAGAAGATGATACTCATGAGGTGGAACCTGGGGAGGTTCGTGTCTGCTGGTCCAGCCCCAGCCCACATACATGCCCCTACCTCTTCCTGAGCTGTGATGGTGCAGCCTCTGCTGACACCAGGGTCTACCTGCCGCTCCTGCAAAGCTGCACAATAGCTCTCCCCATGTTCACTCCTGCTCTCATGCCTCGGGGATACTCTCCAGTTGCCTGAACCTCTCCTTCAGGGAGCCAGCTGGGTTGGGCTGTCCCTCAATGTGGAACCCAGCAGGACACATGGTGAGGAGACCCGTGTCTGTGCCTTGCTGGGCTCCTGGCCTTCCCCACCTGTAGCCTTTTCTTTGTGCCTCCACAGACAGAAAGCACGAGGCCTCCAGGAGTGGCCTAAAGTGTCGTGGTCGCTGCAGACCTCCTGGACAGCCGCATTCCTTCAAGGCCTCTGTTGTGCCTGTCTCCTCTCTGTGGACTGATTCTTTTTTGATCCTCCTTGGAGCTTCTCCCCTTTGGTGGGGCTATCAGCTTCCTGGAGAAACCTCCCACTTGAGTACTGGGAAGATAGTTTTGGGGTTGTCAAGCCTTCTGACAAGAAATCTCTAACCAGGAGATCAGAAATGCCACCTATCCCATCTATTGTCTTTGTCCACACACATCCCCCCATACACTAAGCTCAGGGATAGGAGGAACTGTCCAGTGCCTTTCATGGTGGCCCCTCATCTGCCAGCTCAAGGTCTGGCCCATGGAGAGGGCACTTTGAAGATCTGCTGGACAGATGGATGGGTAGACTGATTCGGGGGGAGAGCAGAAGAGAAAAATAAGTGGTGAACAGACAGGTGGCAGACCCATCTTTGGGACCTTTGGGGCCAGGGCCTCATGCTGACACCTTCACTTGTAGACAGTCTCTGGCTTCTAGGTGGCAGTGGCCCTGGCCTTAGCATTGTCCAGAAGAGCCTGGGGCAGTACCAAGAACTGAGAGAGAAGTGAGAACCCTGAAGTTGTCTCATCCCTGGCAGCCCCTGACCCCGGTGTGCAGCCTTAGCCAGGTCTCTGTGCTCCTGTGGGACTCAGTTTCCCCATCTGTAATGAGTGTGGTCTAGATGCCCTCTGGGGGTCCATTTGACTTCTGAGTCCAGAGTGCTTCTCCAGGGAGCGTTCGTGGGGCTGTATGGAAGGGTCTCGATGTGAGCGGGCCGTCTACCGGGAGGAACGGCAGGAACACAGAGACCAGCAGAAGTCAGGGAGACAGGGTGGGGGCTGGCACACACAGATTCACGTGGATTGGGAATGATTGCACCAAGCCACAGCTCCTGGCCATTTCTGTTTATTTTATTTTCCCAAAAATGATTTTTCAGGCAGAAAGGAGGCTGAAGGCAGAGTTAGAAATAGCTGAGCCCTGTTTCCAGTTGAGCAGGTTCTGCAGATGTGTGCTGGGATAATTGAGGGTTTGTAGCTCAGTCCTACATTGCTCTGCTCAAGGAGAAAACATGGGCTTCCCAGCCCAGCCTGGGCCAAGCCTTTTGTTACTGCGTGGGTGGAGAGAACTGCCTGCCCCAGGGGCTGCCATGTGGGGGAAAGGCAAGAAATCTCAGCTCCAGCTTATCCCAGCAGGAGCCTGGCTGCCTTCCTGCTCCACTCCCTCCCAAGAGGAGAAATAGATCCCAAAGTCTTTAGAGTTTCCTTGGAAAGGCTTTGCCCTGCCCTGGCCCTGGAGGGAGGGAAGCCTGTTGAGTTGCTCAGGTGGGCTCCATCCACACAAGGGCTCACTTCAAGCTCCTCATCTCTGTCCATGCTGTACTCCCTCCCTGTGCTTCTCAAGGACTTTTCCCTCCCATGTCCTCCCCTTCTGAAGACACAGGGAAGGAAAGCTTCCTATTGTAAGAACGAGAAGTAGAATAACTAGGCCAAGGTCACACAGCAAATACAATTTGGAACAAAACTGTAAACTTCTGGTGCCTGTGAGAAGTGGTTGATTCTGCTGGGCTCCTCTTCTCTCCCTGCCTGGGACCTTCCCCGTGGCCCAGTGTAACTAGGGATGGATTCAGGATCAGAGGCACAAAGACAAACACAGATTCTGGAGTCAGACAAACCAGGCATGAATCCAGGTAGCCACTAACAATATGTGACTTCACTGAGGATCCTGAGTTTCCAAATCTGTACAACAGAATTGTAATAATATCTACTTAAGGAGTTTGTTGTGTGGAAGAGGGGAAAAGATATATATATGTAAATCTGTATGGCATGGCTGGGCCAGTACGTGGCTTGGGGTGAGTCCTCAGTAAGTGGTGACAGCC